ATTTCAACAATCTGTACTTTAAATCATCATTAATTTTGGTGTCTGATCCCATATAATAGCCCACATCTAAAACATGCTGAGAAACATCATCCACAGTCCCAGTAACGGCAGCAGAAGTACCAGAACTACTTGTAGCAGTATCACTGTCGAAAACACTTGAACACTGATTTTCAGTAGAACCTTCACTACCAGTACCAGGTGCAGATTTTTTAAATAAATATTTGAATAATGTATTTTCTTGCGCCCTTTTTGCCATTTCAAATGTTGAACCGATCTGTAACAATTAAAAAAACAGCTAACTATTAATTCTATTTGTACACAAATATTTACATCGATAGAGATTTAAAAGAAAATGAATACGAGTAGGTATCATCAAATCCTTTTAATTTTAATTTAAATTACAAAAATTATAACACCACTTACTTCAATACTAATTCACAGCACTATTATTTCACTCACTGCACTATTACTTCGCTTATATCGCCTTAGTCGCATCGCATTGGATTACTTTCCAATACAGAAGTCCCTCTTCGTGCTCGACTGCTCGCTTATATATTCCGCAGACGCGGCGCAACGAAATACCGAGAATAACCCGTCTTATACATTGCGTTCGGTCTGCCAAGTTCCTTTGACTCCTTTAACACTTTTAACTCCAAACGACCCTTTTAGCGTTAGGTTTAGTCCGATTAGTGACAGTTTAACACGCTTAAATGTCATTTAAAAATTTGTCCCGCTCCAGCCCCTGACTGACCGAACTCGCCTATTCTATGCTTATTAAATATTCCCGAAATGCAGTTCGAGCACGTCCCCGAAGTTGCGTTGCTTGTGTAGTTGGCGTATCACGTAGTTTCGCCGCTTCCTAATAGATGTCGCTGTGCCGCTATTTAAGTATCGTCGTGCGAATACCAAGCGAGCATAAAGTCATACATAATAAAAATAACAGTAGGTAGAGAATTTTGTTTGTAGAGATTAACTATTATGTTGTGTATAACAACAAAGTGAGGCGAGCGCACTGTATATAACTGCAGTCTCATTAATACTTATTAAAAGTCTAAAAGAAATATTTTTTTTTATTTCAAGGGGGGGAACAATCCCCCTTGATCCCTCCCTGACTACGGCCTTGTAAATTAATGCTTAAAAATAACAATAAATTATGCTTTGACCATTCTGGAGGTGAGAACTTTAAACTTGAATACAGAAGAGTAACAATTTGATCAGTTTCTGATATTTAAAACACTATAACTTCCGAATAACAAACAATAACAAGGAAATCTTTCGTAAATAACCCAATAAAACTCAATCTGGGAGATATACTTGTTTTAAAGCAAAGGCAATCTACTATTTTTTCTTAATCCTTTGTTGCACGATTCATTCTAGTGAATGTAAAACTTATTACCTGAGGGTATTTACACCAAGGAGGTTTCTTTGATGACAATGACACGACTCCGCATGGTTGAACTAGAACCTGATGTATTATGTGCTGAGGCGAGACGTCGTTTGTAGCTAGAGGGGCTCGATCCTTTTCCACTACTTCAAGCGAATATGGACCTCATCTCACAGACATTGATCTTCTATAAGCCATACATTGTTATAACAGAGCAAATAGAAAAGCCGGAAGTGGTAAGTACGATTCGTAACTACGCTGGCGGTTCTGAAACAAAACAAGGCTCAGGATGTGGAATATACTCCAGGTCTTTAAAACTAAACATAAAATGGCCTGTGAGGAATAGGGCCAGTGTAGTTCAAAACGAGCTCAAGAGGATCCTCATAGCACAAAATAAGTGACCAGAAACAATATCGCTGGAAGAAACATGTTCATTTGTACAGTTAGCAGACAAACACTACTCACCCTGGACAGATCACGAATTTACTCAGGGTTAGTACTAGAATGCCACGAAGCTTTGGTTACCCTAAGGTGGATCAAAGGTCACGCCACATCGAAAGGTAACAGTCTTGCTGAGTCACTAGCCAAGAAGGCAGCCCTTTATTGGACTGACAACATCGGTAGTGACAAACCTAATTAAAGAACATTCCCTTGTGAACTTAAGGAAATATGGGATACAACAAGAAGCTGCAGAGTTGCCAAGAATCTTTTAAGTTATCCTGACCTTACTACAGCAAACAAATACTTGGCTATGACTAGACAGAATCTGCGCCTGATTACAGGTATTCTGACTGGTAATTACCATTACCAAGTATGAAAGCATCTCCATTGCATGGGGCTACCTGAATCCAAACAAGAAGATGAGACCATCGAGCATATCTTCTAGGATTGCCCGACGCTCTCATTTATTAGAATTATTTGTCGATATAAGAGAAGCACCTCTTGGCGACGTTGTCAACTACATTAAATCTGTAGACTGGCTCACGAGGTACGAGGTCCCTATTAACTTAGGAGGATGTACAATGGGCCTATTGAGGCTTAAGTGCCGTGGGTTACAGATACAGATACCCGAGAGTTTTTGAAATCGCTAATCACGAATCCGCTTTTAAAAATACAAGATTCAAAATGGCTTAGCCAACATGGCGGACCGTGAACGAAAACTTTTTCCTATTTGGAAGAAATTTGGTATCTTGGGATTTTTTGAGTCACCGATTACGAATCTGCTTTCAGATTTTCAAAGTTCAAAATAAAGAATCTAATACGGTGGATCTTAATGTAGAAATGGCTGAAGACAAAAATATTGAATTAGTCATAATTAATTCATTTAGTTTAACAGTCACTTTCAATTTTAAGTATTAATCGAAAATTTTTCATTTTGTTGGCTGTAATATTGGGCCTGCCATTTCTGATTTTTAAAGTCATATTCAAAATCAGTGACCCCGAAAACACCTTAGAAACGTCCCAAGTAATGTTTTTATATTTTCGAGCGTCATATTAGATCCGCCATTTTGAATTTCTAATTTTGAATATATTTAAATCCAGTGACCCCAAAAAACCCAATATAAAGATATGTATCTCATGAAAACGAATCTTTGATATTTTGGCCAAAAAAATAGACGAAAAGTCCCATATATAGTGCCTTGTGAGTCTTGAATCCATGTGCATTCCTAGATATTTCGTACTTGTGTATTTAAATATTGTTTATAAAGACTGGATGACATTGATATTTTCTTAGTGTGAAAGTCACTAGGACTGATTTTACCTCATTTATTTTCATTCTCCATTTGATTAATGCTGTTTGGATATCATTCAAGTGTCTGCAACATCGCAGTCGTACTTGGATTTTCATGGCTTGCAAGTATGACTGTGTCATAGGCAAATGTTGGTAGATATGGGCCTAATGAGGCCTAAGTGCCGTGAGTTAACCCACATCCACACGTTACGGATACAGATACAAATGTTGATAGATCAGCTGTATACAATATTATTATATATATATATATACATACATACAATAAAGGTCCAAGATCACTACCTTGTGGGACACATAATTTTATTGTGAAATTGTACATACTTTTATTCCCTCTTGATCTTAATTCTGTCACCTAGGTTACATTTCAATAGTTTAAAGCAATTTATGGGAAGATATATCTTGATTTTGTGTTCTAAACCCATATGTCAAACCTTATCAAAGGCTTATCTAACATCTAAGAAAGCAAATGTACATTACGTTTTGCCTTCCAGGGCTAAATGTATGCTGTGAGCTACTCTTGTAAACTTGCTGCACCTTAGAGTTTTCTTTCCGGAAACCAAATTGGTGGAGAGATATTCATTCTTCTGTGTCTGAATCAGAATTTATTCGTTGCAACAATAATCTCTCAAGTATTTTAGACATAATTGGTATGAGGTAGAGCTGAGCGAAGCAAAAAGGACTTCGAGCACCAAGCCCTTTGGAAAAATAATTGCCAGCATCAAGCACTTTGGAAATTCTAAGTGCCTGCAATTACCAATTACCGAGAAAAATAATTGCATAATTCAATTACCAACTACACCAAAGTTTTTTGTTCTTAATTTATTAGTCTACACTACATGACAAAAAACACAATAAAAATTAAGAAATCATTGAAAAAAAAAATAAGTACAAATTACTTTAGCTAAGTATTCAGCAAATAATTTTTTTTTCTTCCTCACTTCTGGCCCATTGTGGATTTGATTCCAGTTCCTTACGAATGGGAGGAACTTGAGTTATTGGTTTCTTGGTTCCTTATGTAGTCTGAACATGATCTTTTCTATACTTATTTGATTTTGGATTTTAGTTGGTTAATTATTCTGTTTAATTTTGTTTTATCTGCTGAAGCATAGGTTCGGATCAATCGGTTTTCATATTCAATTGTCATAACGATTTAAGTTCCTTATTTAGTCTGAGCATGATCTTTTCTGTATTTCTTTGATTTTGGATTTTAGTTGGTTAATTATTCTATTTAATGTTGTTTTATCTGCTGAAGCATGGGTTTGAAGCAATTTTGCTCTTGGCTTTTCTCTTTTGTGATATAATTTTCTGGATCTACACTAGGATGTTATATATTTTGTTCATAGTTGCTACTGGTGTGGCTTATTGTGTTGCCACTTTGTGTCTTATTTAGTGTTGTTAGTATTTCGTCAGTTTCATTTGAAATTATGATACTTACAGATTGATTTCCTCCTCTATTTTAATTTTATACTCTTGTTTTAAGATTTTTATTATTGCTAACATAGTTAAGGATTTTTCTGGGTGACTATCACCAGGAAGCCTGCAGCTCTCTGACCAAGATTCTGTGAGGAGGAGGACGAAACCTTCATTCACATTCTGACGAAATGTGCGTCACTACAATCACAAAGTCGTTATAGACGTTGAGACTATTCCCTTACTGCTTAAGAGATTAAAGGGGACATAATAGAGGCAAATAAGTGAGGAGCATTTTTCATTCATAATCGAGGTACTCACAACACGGTTCAGAATGACGAATGCTTGCTTGTTCGCTCTCTTGTTTGTTCAATGTTGCTCTTTTGGTGGATATGTGTCTTAACATACGTGACATAACAATATTTTTATTTATCCAGTTTATTGTTGTTACAGGCGAACAAGTTAGAATATTAAGTTATAACAAAAGCGGTGAATGGTGTGAAGCGCATTCTTCAAGCAATCAAGTAGGTTGGGTACCATCAAATTACGTTACTCCTGTGAATTCTCTTGAAAAACATTCCTGGTATCATGGACCAATATCCAGAAATGCGGCTGAATATCTACTTAGTTCCGGTAAGACACTTAATTGCAGATTAAAATCGTGAGTAAATCCTCAAACAAGAGAGATTGTTGGTTTTCATCAATACGGTGCCGAGGTTTCAGTTTGTGTATTTTAATCTTCATTCTAGGAATCAACGGTAGTTTTTTAGTACGGGAATCCGAAAGCAGTCCAGGCCAAAGAAGCATCTCACTCAGGTACGAAGGTCGTGTCTATCACTATCGAATAAACGAAGATGCCGAAGGTAAAGTCTTCGTCACAGCTGAAAGCAAGTTCAATACGTTAGCCGAACTTGTCCATCATCATTCCATGAACTCCGATGGGCTCATTACTCAACTTTTGTATCCAGCGCCTAAACATAATAAACCGACTGTATTTCCTCTTAGTCCCGAACCTGACGAATGGGAAATTAATAGGACAGATATCGTTATGAAGCATAAGCTTGGAGGAGGGCAATACGGTGATGTCTACGAAGCTATGTGGAAAAGGTTTGTATTTAAAATACTCAAGATTAATCAACAAAACAATAATTACATTTATGTATTTAATAAACGTTAAAAAAAGTACTAATAAATATATTTCTTTTAGGTATAATATGACAGTGGCTGTAAAAACGCTTAAAGAAGACACGATGGCCTTAAAAGATTTCCTAGAAGAAGCGGCCATTATGAAGGAAATGAAACATCCAAATTTAGTGCAACTAATGGGAGTCTGCACGAGAGAACCGCCATTTTATATCATCACCGAATTCATGAGCAAAGGAAATCTTTTAGATTATTTAAGAAACGGAAACAAAGAACAAATAAACGCTGTCGTACTTATGTATATCGCCACACAAATTGCCAGCGGCATGAATTATTTGGAAAGTCGATGTTTTATTCACAGGGATTTAGCGGCAAGAAATTGTCTGGTGGGTGAAAACCATTTGGTTAAGGTTGCCGACTTTGGTCTTGCAAGGTAAACAAGCTATCAATGTTTTTCTTATACCGGGCGTTGCATCGTCGAGCGGGACATAGGAAATCCCATGTAATTTTAAATGGTGTCATCTAAAATATTAAAGGTGTATTCATGAATACAGGGCCATAAAAAAAGAGAAATATTTGAAAATAAATCGGCGATAACTCGTAAACGGGCTAATCAAAAATATCTAAATATAATTTTTCTCTAAAATAAACAGGGCAGCCAATAATTGACCCCATTTAAAATTACATGAGATTTCCTATGTTCCACTCGACGATGCAACACCCGGTATAATATATTAAAAATAATGAACACTTTCACATAAATTCATATTAAATTAAATAAAAGTTTAAAAAAACATTTTAATTGCATGTTTACTATAAAAATATGTTCGACTGTTCAATCACATATAACATAATAACATCAACTTTAATATAGCATTACATGTATGAAATAACTCGTAACATATGCATGGTGGTCTTGAAATACATTAGATATTAAAAATGACAAGAGTGTATGAGTCCAAAAATGAATGGCAAGTCACAAAATTTAAAAATGGGTAAATTTTCTCTTTTTTAGACATTATTCTACGCTTGTCTGTTTGCACTGTTGTCGGTTCGTTACAAAATTTATGAGACATATTTTTAATTAAACATAGGTACATTTAGGAACAGAAATATTTTTAATTATATATAGGAACATTTAGGAACAACGATACAAATTATTGGCTCAATAGAACAAACAAGATACAAAGTTAAATACACTTACCAAGTCCAATATCTGGGACACATGTCACAACCCTTGACCAAACGTTAAAACCGCGATTCAAATCTAGCACATTTGTATAGTATAGTGACATAAGAAACCCGTTCTAGAGTGAATAGAGGATGTCAACTTTAGTAGATTTTTGAACAGACCCATCTCGAAAAGTCCTGCTGACCCCTCCATCCCCCTCAAATTAGATCGATCGATTATTTTAGTTTTTTTTCTCTCAAAAACGGTAAGAGAAACGCGTCGTTTTGGTGTCATTCGATAGAGCGCAAAGTTCTTCATAATGGCCATGACCTAAGTTCTGTTTATGTTTTCAAAGTCCCCACAAGAACAAAAAATGGTTAGGGTAATCACAAGGACACTTGTTTAAAACCACTTAAAATAGAACATACAAAAATTTTAGATTATAGTTTTCTCTATCGATTGGTATAATATAACCTTTTTTTCCTTTAAGATAAAGCTACCAGTGGCGTACAAAAAAAGTAGCTGAATAAGAGGAATGTCTAAAAATTTATATTCTCTTAAAATATGATTTATTTATTTCATTGTATGTGTGCGGGTAAAACAACATAAAAATAATCAAGAGCGTATTAGTAGGTACTACAAGTAAATAAGTCAAATATTTTAACACTTTTTAATTTCAAAGGTATTTACGGAAACTATTAAAACCAAATAATATAAAAAACTATTGTAACCTTGCATTTTTAACACCCTAAATTAATTGCAACATTCTACACACAAACATTACCTAGTACACTTTTTCAAAAGTATTTGCATTTTTGGCCACAAGTTTTACATTTACATTTTAGTAAAATGTTGGATCACATTTTTCCATTTTTCGTATTGGTCCATTTATTGTTTTGAAGAGTCCATCCCCATTTAGACGGGCATGGAAGTTCTGGCACAGGTTATCCCAAACAAATCCTGCTTGAAAAATACATATGCAGTGCTAAAGTATTCATTATTTAAGGTAAATTCTCAATGGTTCGGTTTTTTTGAGCAAAAAGTTGCTTTCGGCAGACGTAAATATCGATGGTTTCAGAATGTTTGTAAATATCGATGGTTTCAGAATGTTTATCGTACATTATTATAACAAATTTTGAAATAATATTGAGTTGTTCCGATGTAAGTTCTTTTGGATGCAACATTAATTCAATGAACGTAGGTGTAACCATCGCAAAAGATTCCCAAGCTTCCCAGAACAGAATGAGTGAAAAAAGGGGATAGTCAGACTTTTTTCATTCATTTTTGTTAGCAACTTCCATATAAGAAATATACTTTAGGTTCTTATCAAACTAAACCCATTTTTATTTTGATACTAACATGTCAGTATCACAGATTTTATGACAATTTTTTTATAGCCGTTTTCAATGCAATTGTATGCATGTACAAAAATTCGTGATTGAAAATTGGGATTTTGGTTAAACATTTCGAAGGTGGGTTCAATACTTTTTGGTTAATAGTATTAAATATTACTTCTTTTACACCAGCCAAGTTACCTTTAATGGCAGAATAAATTATACACCTTCCTGGAAGATTATTTATTGACAACTATATTTGTTAGTAACATTATCAATGATTAACTCAAAGTATACATATATAACACTAAATGTAGATGATAAGTCATATTGCTTTAACACCCCTTTTCAATGTTACTAAATCAGACCTACTATTTTTATAAATCTTTTAATTTTATTTACATCAAGCGGCTTCGTCAGCAAATCTGCAAAATTATCACTTGAAGGATAATACCCAAACTCTACCTGATTTCGTTAGTGACAACGTGTATATTTTGATCTATGTTGATGATCTCCTTATGATAAGTAAGCAAGAGGCTGATACTGTAAAAGTTATTCAAAATTTGCAAGTTATGTTCCAGCTAGTAAGTTTGGGAAATGTTAAACAATATTTAGGCTTACAGTTAGAATGAAATTCGAATGGAATATTAACAATTTCCCAATCTAACTATATCACAAAAGTACTTAAAAACTTTAGCATATTAGATGTCAGAGATTCCAACATTCCGATGAACAGAAACCCCATCTTTCTGGGGTTTCTGTTATTTAAAAAAAAAAAAAAATTGTAATCGTCGCCCTGTTTTATTAAATTTGGACTGCACCCGAAGATGGAAAAGTTATCCGAAACATACGTAGTGATGCGCTAAACAATAGAAAATAAAAACGACCGAATAAACCAAGGAAATCTTTATTTATATAAAATTCTGCTACGTTCAAGAAATTATTCTTATTCGAATATATAATTTTCTTCACATGTACCTGCTTTTTCTTCGCTGATATCATTTTCATGAACATTGTTTGCTCTATTACAATAGTAACATTTTAATTTTGCCATTTACTTTACACTTTAATACTTTATTCTCATCAACTTCAAGTTGTGAAATTTTTTTTCTTCTTCTGTATTCTTGTAACAATTTTTCTTAACTATTTCCAATGTTAGATCTTCTTCTCGTCGACTTTCTAGAGCTGTAACCGTTGAACTGTAGCTCTCTAGTAGACTGCTTAGCAAAAACGCAACAATGAGATTTCCTCCAATTTTTCCCCAAGTGTCTTCAATTGGTTTACCAAATCTAACATTATTGAAAAATGTTCTTCCATGTTACCACCTTTTGCTAGCTGCTGCCTGCATAATCTTTTAAGCAGATACACTTCGCTAGAAAGTGTATTTTTCGTAGTATGACTTTAAAGAATCCCATGCCTCTTTTGCAGTACCAAGGTTGGGTTTATCCACTGATATAAACATTTTGATAAATTATCGTCTGACCATCGATTCAAGAATAGGGAATTTTTTTTTTTTAATATTTCAACCCTCCTTGGTCCTCCATTTTTATTCAGATTTTTTTTTAATCAAACTCTTCATTCTCTTATAGGGTTTGTTAATATCGCTAATTTACGATTTTTTTATTTCAACCACCCATTAACACCTTATTTTCATTCATGTGCTTCGTCCCCTCATAGAGTTTGATTTTTCCTGAAAATTTCAAGTTGATATCGTTTTTCGTTTTTAATTTAGAATTGTTTTAAACATTTTTATTCAGATTGTTTTTCAAAATCAGTAGACTTCTTCCCCTTTAGAGCTTGATTTTTCCTGAAAATTTCAAGTTGATATCATTTTTGTTTTTGACTTATAGATGCTGACATCGGGCGGGCGGCGGACAGACGGACGGATATTTTTAGAAGTTGTTTAAAATTTAATGAAAAGGATTTTGATACAATAATTTTCTCGAAAGTAAATCTATACTCTTCACAGACTACTGTATGAAGAGTATAATAAGGCGGCATCAGATTTAGATTTGAGTGAAGTTATTGACACATTTGTAAATGTCAAAGCTCGAAAGAGATTGTGAGTTTAAATTTTATTCTATAGTTATTTTTAAAACATATTTTTATTATTACATTCCGTAAATTACCAACCTCTTTGCTATTCTGGCCATAAAATAATAATTTGCTGTTGTTATGTCAAAAGCAGTGATTACCCATGGTTAAAACTAGTTAGTATTCCGAACATATCCATAGTAAGTTTAATTTCTTCAAAAATATGCTACATATTTTATGTGGTATCTAATGTAAAGGGGGTCATTTTTGTTTTGGTACCAGGACCCTTGCCTACCTAGCCACTGGTGTTTTATTTATTTTTTTTATTTATTTATTTATTTATTTATTTATTTATTTATTTATTTATTTATTTATTTATTTATTTATTTATTTATTTATTTATTTATTTATTTATTTATTTATTTATTTATTTATTTATTTATATATTTATTTATTTATTATTATTTTCGGGTATTCGGTTTTTGTTCTTCATCATGCTAACTTAACATAAATTTTCAAAATTTAATTACTCCTACAATTATTGGTATTTTTTAAAAATTAAATTTTTACACATTCTAAGACACTAAATAATAATTTATTTTAATATCTACATGTATTTTAATAACACCTTGTATATTAATAGAAACCGATCTTTAAGATTGTTTTTCTTTCAACATTAAAACAAAACTTTAAGAAAATATTCTGTATCTATTTTAACCTACTCTTATTTCATGACTTGGTTTATTGCAAGTGGCAATTAACATGCATAAGTCAAGACCTGATATTGTGAGGCGTTTTAAAAACGATTTATTTATAAAAATTCAGGCTGATGCGAGACGATACTTACACTGCTCACGCTGGTGCAAAATTTCCGATAAAATGGACAGCGCCCGAGGGACTCGCTTATAACAAATTTTCCACCAAGTCTGATGTATGGGCTTTCGGTATCCTACTTTGGGAAATCGCAACTTACGGAATGTCTCCATATCCCGGCGTTGATCTCACGGACGTCTATCACATGCTGGAGAAGGGTTATCGAATGGAGTGTCCACCTGGCTGTCCTCCGAAGATCTATGAATTGATGAGGCAGTGTTGGCAGTGGCATGCCAATGATAGGCCTACTTTTAAAGAGATTCATCATGCTTTGGAGAACATGTTCCAGGAATCGAGCATTACTGAAGGTATTTGTTTTATTATATAAGATACACCAAAAGCAATAGGTCATATGAAAATAAAAATAACTTCAAATTCTGAAAAAATCGTTTAAGATAATGCATTAGTTTAATATAGATGAGATACATGTCACTTTCAATAATACGGTGAAGTTAAATGTAAAAAAATTACAGAACCATTTTCATTAATTTATTTGGCTCTAGCAGCATTCCACCGGGCTTCATCATAGACTTAACACAATGACAATGTATTCATTATTCATAAAAATAATAATTTTTGTCAGTTTTATCGATTTTAACTAAACTCTCGCAAATGTAAACATTAGACAAAATAAATGGGATGACCATTTTAAAAATTTAGTTTGTTTCACTAAAATAATGTAATCCATGTAAATATACTTAATTGTACCGAATTAACTTTTCTTTATTTTCCTCCATTCTTTGTCGTGCTCACTGTATCAATTGTGTACTACAGAACGTTCTTTTCTAAACTTACATAAAAACAATTTCTATTACTAATATATTTTCTATTTTTTCAACAGAGGTGGAAAAACAGTTGCAATTCAATGATTCTCCTTCAATTCCGTTGGGAACTCCACATATGGCTTTCAAAAAGTCGCATTCCGGGAGTACTGGAAACATTCATGGTCTTGTTGGTTTAACTGAACCAAATGGTAAGCATATTTGTACATTTCTGAAATGAATGGTATTAAAACTATTTCTAAAGCAGCATTTCCTAAACTGTGGTTCGTGAACCCCTAGATATTTGCGAGCTTTTCTCTTAATAAAGAGGGTTTCGCCAAAAAATATTGTAATGGGCAGAATTTTAAATCTTAAACATCGCAACAAGGAACAAAGCAAAATAGCGCCAACGCAAGCGATGCGAGTATATTCTCGTACGATTCATTAAATTCTACGTCTGTGAATCGAGCAAACTGAGACTTTTTCGGAATGCGCTCGAAAGAACGAATATAACGTCAGCCGATATAAAAACGTCGCAGCCACATAAAGAAGAGTAGAGTCTAACTGAATCATACAACGCCCTCAAGAACATACATATTAGTTAGTAGGTTTGTTCCCGAAGCGAGTTCCTAACATATTGAGTATGCGCAGTACAAAATAACTGTTCCAGCAGAGCAAAGTTCCAAACAAATTGAACTAGTTTGGTGTTTCCGCAAGATTAAAAACTTGTTCATAACATGTTTTAATAATTTAGTTCTAATAGTTCCTAAATAAAATACGAACTTTTACTTTCGCGCATGCGTGCTTATTTAAAATCATTTTCCTTTTTTTTTTCTTTGTTTTTAATTGGATTTTTGATTAGTTTTGTGAGTGCCTAGTATTTTTAATTTTGATTAAAATCATATACAGCGTTGTAACAGCAAAAAATGTAATAAGGAGGGTGTTTTTTTTGTGCAATTTTGAGTTTATCATTAAGTTTAATCTCAAAATCTTTTTTTAATAAATATAATTGAATGACCTGTATTTAGTTAAAAAAATTTTATTAACGTTCCAGCACACATTTATTTAGAACTCATTTCGAACATTATTCTGCTCACGCATGCGTATCAGATAATGTTTGTAACAAGTTTGGAACTTGTTTCAGGAACAATAGTAGTGTACAGGCATCGCATCCTAATTTGTTAGTAATGGGGTAAAGTGTACGCACTGCTGACACACCTTCAAACGATCTTAATGGCTACTATTAAAGCTACTTTCGCTTTAAATAAATTTTCTAGGATTTTTAAAACGGTCACGGTCAGATGAATAACAAAATAAGAAAATTACCTAAAATTGTAATCCTTAATAACGGTCAAATCGAGTCCGCCCTCGTTTCTAAGAATGTTTTATCAACAGTGGCTATCATTTGTTGGTATTATAGGAAATAACAGAGTACCTACACAATGGATCAAACGCAATTATGTAAATAGTACTACAGAATTTGTTAAAATTTATTTGAGATCTATGAGCTAAAATGTATTCTGTTAAAAAAATTTGAGTGAAAAAAAAATGGTGATTTTGCACTTGATATCTTTAATATTTTAACAAAATGTGAGGGTGAAGTAGAAGTGGTGAAAGTCATCAGCATACAAATATTAAAATAAGATAATGAGGATTTTTTGAAAATATGTTATAGGTCAACAAATACTGAATTTATACTAACCTCTATTCCTTGTTGCTATAACTACTATCAAACAAAATAAATATAAACAAATTAACAGAGTTCTAAAAAATCGTCATCAAAATCATTACTATCACTAGAACTGTCACTGCTGTCTTCATTAACATTAATAATAACTGTAGAAATTACAACGTCATCCATTATAATTTCGCGATCTAAATATTTATCTTCGACAGCTATTGCATTTGCACATCTTTTTTTCCAGTCTTTTTGGGTTACTGATTTAAATTCAATTTCAGCTAACATTTATATATGTGCTAATTTAAAATGAATATTCTTTATAGCTACATTATTTTTTACTGCAGCCCAGATAATTTCTATTGGATTTAAGTCTGGGTGGTATGGTGGTAATCTCAAAACTGTATGACCGTGTTTGGAGAATAATCTATCAAATTTGTATTGCTTGAATCTATTTTTATGCTGTTTGATTAATGTGTACAGCTGTGGTCATAATAAGGAAGGTTGAATTTCAATATTGTTGGACGTCAACCAGTTTATCATTTCAGCTTTTCTTGAATTTGAATTCGGAGCAGGATTTTCTATAACATTGTGATATGGTGCATTATTCAAAACTACAATAGCATTTGGTGGTAAATTTGGTATTAACAGTTCTCTTAGCCGCTTTTCAAAATTTTCTTGATTCATATTATGATAATCACCATATTTGGCCCCAGACACAAGCATTAATGAACTATTAGGAATAAAACCCATGTTACCACCAGCATAAACTATAATAAGTCTCTTTCCTTTCGAAATGGTGGAAAACCAACCTTTTGCATTATCATCACCCCAATTATGTGATGATGTATGGCTATTATGTATGTAAGTTTCATCAATATATACAATGGGACAGTTTTCTGAACGAAAATATCTAATTTTTTTAATATAATCTTATTCTTTTTTCCCTGATGTCAAGCCGTTCTATTAGAACCTGTCTGTTGTTTCGCATTTTTCGCCACTTGAACCCAATTTTTTTTTAAATAGAGTTTTGACTGTTACGCGCATACCTTCTGTTTCGTGAAATCTTTGAACTATATCTCTGATTGTTCCAATATTGTAGGATGGAATATCTGTTACACTTGATGTTCTTTTACGCTTTTTTTGACTTTTATACAATTGTTTAGGTATGGTCGACGTAGACTTTTCACCTTTTTATATTCGTTCAATTGTTTTTACCGAGTATCCTGTAGCTTCAGCAACTTGTTCTTTAATTTCAGTGAGAATTTTGGGATCATCATTCACAACACATTGTCTATAAGTTTCACTATCATCGTTGTTTTTTTTTTTTTCTCAAAACTATTTGTTGCCGAGGAACATTTTTTTTTTCATAAAATATTCGAATGTTTCGGCATTTTAACAGTAAGTCACTACTCAAAAGAAAACACTACAAACAAATAAAAATAAAATATAATTCAAAATCTGAACGCTACACAAACGAAACACAAATTCAAGAAAATATTATCATTTTCTGATCGCCCCCGACAACATTGCTATTGTTTGCATCTCTCTTTAACAGTTGTTACAGTAGGCGTTGACAATTAAAATTAGAGATTAACGCGCATCCCCTCTTCAGACAAATTAGGTTACAATGCCTGTAAAACAGTTTAATGATGTCTTCTTGTGTAAATAAATTACAACAAAGACAATAATTTAACAAATCGAACTTGACAGTAAATGATTTAATATTTAGTAAATTTATTTTGGATTGTTGGTCCAAAACAGGTAGTTTTGTCAAATCTATTGAAAAGCTTCACAAGCAATAATTTGCTTCATCTACTTATCCAATGCCTACGGATGAATGAATACAGCACCATTTTATCAAAACATTACAATAAACTTTCTTTTTCACCTCCATCTGCTTTTTCAGGCATCAGATTGGGAATCTGTCCTCTTCCTGGACCCATCTCTTCCATTCTTTTCTGTTCCTGGCTAGTATTTTCTTCTATATCAAAGTTTTCTCCTTATCAATTCCAATCTTTTCAATCTGGTCAATCCATTTCCCCCTGGGCCTTCCTTATTGCCCTTTTCTTGATATTCCTATTCCATTACTTTTCTCACTATTCTATCTGGTTTTATTCTTACTAGGTGACCATACCAGTTTTATTGTAACTTTTTGAATTTCGTCATTATTGGCCCCTGTTTAGTTATTTTTCTTATATCTTCATTGCTTACTTTGTGCCATTTAGTTTTCTTAGCTGTTTTTCTAAAATGTTTAATTTCCATTGCATTTGAGGGGTACAGGGATTAAAAAGATGAATATTCAAAAATCGCAATTTTGAGATTAAAATGCGAATCCATACCTAAAATACATTAGAATCTGTCAATCTTTGAACCAGTTAAACCAATGAGCGCCACAAGTTACAGCGTATTTAAATAAACGTGTTTAGAGCAAAAAGGTTGAATGTCCCTCCATGTCGATGAAAAAAGATGAATGTCAACCGACGATGGGTAGTGATCACGTGTTTAATACAGAACAGATGGGAAAATTTTAAATTCCTTTGTTCCACCAAATAGGCTTATATATATATATATATATATATATATATATATCCCATTGAGGGTTTTTTAAATTGTATATTAAATTTATCTTGTATTGATTCTTTTTTGCAGGTTAAGCTATCACTTTATTATTAATAATGTTTGTCTGTAAATATTTTACAATATGGTTTTAGTTTTTCGTTATGAACTGATAATCAATATTTAAATTAAATTTTAATAACAAATCCAATTTTGTTGTATTATTTACTGTTACTAGTGACTACATAGGGGGTTCGTCAATTTATTTCTTTTTTGGACGGAGAAAAAGTTTGGGAATCGCTAATCTAGAACAAAACAAAAAAAAACATTTATTTATTTTAGATAACCTCAATAATACTTCAACAAAACTGTCTACTTTCACGGGTGGATCGAAAACGAATGTTCAGATGAGGCGATCAACGAATAAAAAGGGGATGCCAGCACCAGCACCTCCAAAACGTACAAGGTTAGTAAAAAAAAGTCAGCATGTTTATTGTTTTTTTTTGTTGCATGAAATATATGTCTGCTTCGAAAAATAACAAATCATTAGCTATTTTAAACTAAATTTATCTGAAAATAAATGAAAAAATTCACCACGAACTAATAAACTAAATACATTTGTGTGATAATTTTACTAACACTTTGCCGACTTCTTATTCCAGCTTGCTGTCTTCTTGCAGTTCTTTCCGGGACAGCACGTTTGATGATCAAGGACAAATTGATAATACAGGAGAGGACGGGACTGATTTAAATGGTACTTAAAACACATATAATAAATACATTCTAAAGTGTTGATGAAAATTTCTTATCAATTCTAGCACAAAAAAGTGTTTTGGTATTAAAACTTTTATATTTCAGAAATGTTAATCATCTGATTTAATGAAACTAAAAGTATACATTTTCAAACTATAAAATATTGATTTCATACATGTAATAAATAATTCTCATATATTCATCATACATTTTAAAATTTCTAAAAAGCTAACTAATTTTCATTTTCTTTTAATAACAACATTTAAAAATCCTGTTTAAACTATTTTCAAAAGGACTGACAAGAGAGCTTCAAACGTTGACGGCAAGTACAAAATGTGATAGCGAGAGTGATCTCCAAGACCAAACTCCTGATACGGACGATTCAGGTGCACATTCTTATCCAGAAATATCTACTACAAGTAGTTTTACGCCCGGTACGGGTTCCTTTAAACGAGCTCCCATCATGGGTAACAAAGGATTGGAGCAGCGCGGAAAGAAAACTAAATCCAAAGAACCGATGGTAAGACTTTTTTTTAAAGGGTTTTGATGGTCAATTTTTATTGAATGAGCTTAAAAATAATATGTCTACAATTTATTACCAAAAAACAGACAAAAGTTGCCTATAGCATCACTTTTATGATCGTTCTTTCATTTCTCATTCTTATATTATTTTTAACTCCTTCATTTCTCTTATCCACTGTTCGATTTATATTGTTAAAGTTATTTATATTTCAAGAAAGTTTGACCAAATTCTATTTTTATAAGTCAAATTGCCCTTTTTTGATATAAACTTTCAATAATAATGTATATTATGATTTTTAGGCAAAAAAGGTTTATTTTAATTTCTTTTCTTTTCGAAACCAGTTTCATAATGTTCAACATTATGCAACTAGTTGAGTCAAGTAGATCATTTTGACACTTGCTGCAATTTCAAAAAAATTACTTTATATGTCAAAATTAGAAAAATGAAATTATGCTACATATTCAAAGTTTAAAAATAGTGCACCATGGTTTTACAAACTGATTTATTAAGAGAATTAATTCTTACATTTTAGCTCCACTTGTTCATGTAATAAATTTAATTTTTGTCCATGGTCAGATGAGTTTAAGCTGTCAGTAATTACACCTCTTTACAAACAAGGCAATAACGATGGTTTATCGTACACAAGTGAAATTTTGGGAGAAATTGTGTTAAATGCACGTACCTACTTATATGTGAACAAATAATTTTTTAAAGGTGGAAAAGTAAAGAAAACAAGTCCTTTATATCTCACAAAGAAATTTGTATTTAAATAATAAACGAATACTAAAAAAAACTTGGCAGGCATGGACTTTGTAATGTAGGCTCATTATTTTTTTAATTTTTTTTTTAGTATCGATATTTTATCATGTGACGTTTTAATATTAATGTTTTTAACCCTTGACAAATACCAATGCTTAAAAAAAATGTTCAGTTCGTTTGGATTCCTTCAAGATTGTAATCTAGTAGTTTTATCCCTACTGGATAAGAGATTATGGTGTGCCTGATGATAAAGTGATCAGACTTCGAAATCGGTCGCCGTTTAATTACAAATCTCTTTGTGAGATATAAAGGACTTGTTTTTTCAATCCATAAACTCACACATGGCTACCCCAAGTTTGAAATAATTTATCTTTATTTTGCTTTATTAAGTAATCAGAAACACCGAAGAACTGTTGAAAGGATTTGATAGATACATTTCATGTGAAATAAGAGAGGTATAGCTTTAAACTTAAATTGTGAAATATTAGTAAAATGTTGTTTCAACACTTCGTCGTTGTTTTGGCTATTGGTCGTATCTCAAATTTACAATAATATCCAGGAGGCCCTTAATAAGATTTTTCGTGGAATGAAACACTTTATTACTGATAAATTTTAAAGTAAGTTGGTTTGTTTTCTTTGATTTTCTGTTGTACTTTAATCATTCTGGGAGCTATGTACATTGCAGTTTATGTTGTTCGATGTAAAAAATGTTTTTTTACAAGTTTGTTGGAGTTACGACCAATAGCCATAAAAATATATGCCATATTACTAATTACAACTCACAGCCAATAAAAAGCATTAGTGGTTTAACTACATTTTTTATTTCAACATTTATTAGTAGTTAGCAATAATAAAAACTATTTAATTAACGGTATAACACAACAAAATATAATTGAATATATTATATTTAACAAAATCAACAATTAATTTTCATAAGGCAAATTTTGGTAAAATATTGTGTTTTATATTTCTTGTAACCGGGGCTTATCTGGAGTAGAAAATGAATTTAAATCCCTATATTTTTCTGCACATAATTTATTTGGACTAGAATTGAGAGGTGTTAAGGCGACATTTTGCAAACAGATATTTCTTTTTAAAGTTAAAGATCTGTATGTGTCGGTATTATGGCAACTTTTGAAGTAAACTTTATGTAAATTGTGTTTTTAAATTTTTACTTCTTTTATTTTTGTCCAATTAACTTTTTCTTTCTAATCATCAATCCTTATGTTTAGTAATCTAATCTCCTGTGATAATTTCCTAAAATTTTTAAAGTCAAAATAGTTAGGCTGTTCACATTATATGGGTGTTTTCTTTTGCGAGGCGAATTGTGGGTATGAGTTGAGACGGCATGAAAATTTCTTCACATTTTCTTAAGGCATAAGATATCGCACTGTGTGCAGAATCCCCTTCATTCTGCCCATGATATGGTTCGAAAAATCTCGTCTATGCAGAATGTACCTATAAAAACTCCCTGGCCAGATATTTTGGTAAGTAATAGAGATATTTTAATTCTGTAAAAGCCAGTTCATAGAGCACTAAGAGAGCTTTAATTGTAGATATAAATTAATTTTAAATAGGTCAATATGTAGAAGGCGCTGCGCTCAATATTATTTTTTCGATGAAAGGATCTTTCTTATATAGCGCATCTTGTAAAAAATACATTTTAAAGCAAATTTTGTTCTATAAACTAATTCGATAAATCTATCTATTTTTGATATACAGAGTGGGTCACTCAAAACAGTTTCATTCTGTTTTTCAGCATTAATCATTGGATTTTAAGAAAATGCTAAAACAGGTCAATTTTTATTCCAAATTGAATACATTTTCACAATGCAGATATCTGTCATGTGTCAACCCCCTCCCTTCCACTTCTCCAACCCCTTAATTTTATATAAGGAATGTACCATGTACGGCACATCATTGAAAAGGTAATTTTGTGGGAAAGTCATAAATATGATTTGTTTATTGCGATACTTTTAATTTTAGCGCTCTCTATCGGAATAAAAAACCTGTAACGTATTATAAACTGACACTTTATTTGGAAGCTAATTTAATTACTAATTCAATACACCACATATCATTAATATAAATATTTCCATATTGCACTTGTAACAAAATAAAGTTAGCAATAATAATGTTTAAACCCACTCGACCATTCATTGTTGCGTTCTAATTAACAGTGCTGTTCCTAAAGTGGCGCTGGGAAACAGTAACAAAGCCTACACAGAACACGATGCGAAATAACCTTAGCAGTTGAAGACGATGACACAAAAAAAATGTTTAAAATAATGCATGACTAATTGTCAAACAATTGCAAGTGCAATATAGAGGATATTTATATTAATGTTATGTAATGCATTGAATTAGTAATTAAATTTGCTTTCAAATAAGGTGTCACACTGTATAATACGTAGGTTTTTTATCACGATAGAGGGCGGTACAATTAAAAGTATCGCAATAAACAATCATATTTATAAATTCCCCATAAAATTACCTTTTTAGTGATGTACTATACATTGTAGTGTCACACTAGTTCACTAGTCACATAGTTTTTTTTCGCTAGAAGGCGATAAATTAAAGTAACACAGTGTATTTTTGAATTCCCCATTAAATTACCTTTTCAATGATGTGCCATACATGGTACATTACCTGTTTAAAATTAAGGTGTTGGTGAAGTGCAAGAGAGGGGGTTGACACATGACAAATGTCTGCATTGTGAAAATGTGTTCAATTTGGAATAAAAATCGACCTGTTTTAGCATTTTCTTAAAATCCAATGATTAATGCCAAAAAACAGAATGAAACTGTTTTGAGTGACCAACTCTGTATATCAAAAATTGGCTAGATTTATTGAATTAGTTCATAAAACAAAATCTGCTTAAAAATGCATTTTTACAATATGCGCTTCATAAGAAAGATCCTTCCATTGAAAAAAAATTATTGAGCGCAGCGCCATCTATATATTGACCTATTTAAAATTAATATATATCTAAAACTAAAGCTCTATTAGTGCTCTGTGAACTGGCTCTTGCAGAATTAAAATATCTCTATTACTTACCAAAATATCCGGTCTGGGAGTTTTTATTGGTACACCCTGTATAAGTGCTTTTTGCAATAAAATACAGTATCATTAAAACCATAATGGTATTTTTGGCCTGGCCTGCATAGCCGTCACAAAAAAGATTCAAAGTCTGAATGCCACTTTTGTCATTCCTTGTAAAAATAAATACACTGCCGTGGATATTTCCGAGGAACCTCTCTTGTTTTTAGCTTCATGCCAGACAAAACAGTTAGTCTGTAGTGCCCAAATTGTAAATTGTAAAGTTGTAGTTACTTAGTCTATTCTTATAGAATACCTTGCAATCATGGGTAAATATATCACTTGCTGCAAGTCAAAAACAGCACTTATTACTTTTGGATTATTTTGTGAGTCTTTCTTGCATTTTTCTTTTATATCTCTAATTTTTTCTTCTTTTTTATGTGAGTAGTAAATCGTTCTTGCAGCTTTTCTTTTTCACTATCTTCGGCCTTTCTTTAATGTAAGCACAAACTACACTGGTCTTTTTTCGGTCGATTAAATGACAAATTAAAATCTTATAGTAGGTATTACAGCTACCAACTTCTCGTCCTTCTATTTCGTTCTTGTACATATCGTACATGTCATACAATGACAAATCTCCATGGATGTACTCTCGTTTAGAAGATTTTCTGCAATAGTGGGATTGTTCTCTAGGGAACCTCTTGATATGATATTTTACATCATTATATATTTTTGCATGCAGTGTTCGTTATCTATTGAGCAAACTAACATAATCTGAAAAAAAGTGAGATACGACTTATAGCTAAAATATCAAATGTTATAATGTTAAATACGACATTCCAACATTTATGTTTTATTCCATCAGTAATTTATTATTACATATAATGTTACCAGCATACAAAGTATGCAGTTTTAGTTATCTATTAAGCAACCTAACTCAATTTAAAAAAAAAAAAAATGAGATATGACCAATAGTCATAACAACGACGACATGTATGCACTAAACCATCGATAAAGGCTTTATTACAAACTAGAGTTTCATCATCTTAATTAGTACATTTGCAAAAATATTTGAAAAATGTGTTAAAAAATGCTTTATAAACATTTAACTAAACACAACATTTTGTGTGAAAAAGTATGGTTTCACTCCAGTACGAGTGATGCAATGTATAACCTTACTAGTGCTATAAAAAATAGCTTAGATAATATATTTCTCGATCTTGCAAAATCTTTTAACATGGTACGTCATGGTAAACTGCTACACGTTCTTAAACATTATGGAGTGAGATCCAGCATGTTAGATCTATTTTCAATTTATCTCTCTAACAAAAAAAAAACAAATCCTCAATATTAGAGACATATACATTAATACTAGAACTATTCAAATGGGGATACCACAAGGCACAATTTTAGGACCACTATTATTCATCACTTACATTAACTCTCCCTTAAAAACCAAAATAGAAGCTTCTGTTGTTTCTTACGCAGATGACACAGTATTAATACTTAATGATAACTCATGAAATTTAGTCAAGTAAACGGTTGAACTTGATATACCGGGTGTTCAAATTAAAGCGTTACAGCTATATACCACTTTTTATAAAAAAAAACGTTTCAGACGAAAGTTTTATAGTTTTGTGGGGAAAAACTTTTGGCTAAAATCGTTTTTTATAGCTAAACATAATATGGCCAACTTTTTTTTCGCGCAGCAACATTTTCAAGTAGCTGTTACTCAAAAAGTAAAAGTCCAATAAAAAAAATATTTCCCTCAAAAGTTTCTTATTTTTTTATTTACTTTAAGAATATGTAAGAAAAAAAATGGGATTCCCATTTAAAAAAACAAAGTTCACCTCGATATGGCCATATTATAGTCAGCTATAAAAAAATGAATTTAGCCAAAATGTTTCCCCCAAAAAACTATAAAACTTTTGTTTGACACTTTTTTTTTCTAAAATGCATACTTTCGGCGGTATTTAACTGTAACACTTTAATTTGAACACCCGGTATATTATAAAGTCAAATCCTAGCTAGGCTATAATAAATTATCTTTGAATGTTGCAGACATAAGTGAAACATGAATATAAAGGAAAGTTATTAAAATAATGTTATATCAAATCAGTTTACTAAATTCATTCAAGCAGTCGGATGTAAGATATAAAGACAAAAACAGAATTATGTATGTATTTATGTATGATAGCTAATTTCAGATTAATAACTAATCAAAATTAATAACTTGTTGGCATTAAAAAGAAAAAAAAATAGTTAATGACTGTAAACTCACATTAGTGTTAAGATACCTTATTAACTATATCCTCAATACAGATATTCCCATTGTTGAGATTCTTTCTTTTAAGCTTAATGATGGCCCAAAACCTCCTTTTACATTTGAAACAATAATAAACATTTTGTGATACTGATTTTGAGTGTTTTTGTTTTCAAAATATAACTGTTACTTTCAAGGTTCAAGTAGCAGCTCTAGAAGTTCAAAATGTTCGTAAAGCCATAAGCAGGTATGGTACACTCCCCAAAGGAGCACGAATCGGTGCCTACTTAGAATCGTTACGTCAGAACAACATGTCGTCAAACGATGACGCCATTCAAGCTGTTAATCCAGCTATAGACCAATCGGAAACTACTCCCAGATCACTATCACCAAGAACTAATATCCGAACGCAGCCCCAAATGATCAGAAGCAATTCTTCAGGAGGTGTTACAACGTTTCATGCAACTCATCCACCAAGTTCACCAACCTCAAGTAAACTAACAAGAAACAGAAATGTGGCCAGAAATAATAGTGCAGATGTTAGAAGTAGTCTTAGGAGTTTTAAGGCTTCTCAGAATAGTACTTTCCGAGGAGGAAGTCCTTCAAGGTATATCCAACTTATTATATCCAATCTTGATTTTTTTTTTTACTGATTCGATATTTTAGATCTATTCAACCAACATTGGCTGACTTGGAGTTTCCACCGCCTCCGACAGATTTACCTCCTCCTCCAGAGGAATTTGATGGTATCGACCAAGTAGACTGTAGTACCTCGATAATGACCTCATCCCAAGAACTCCGCAAACGAATCATCCCTATCTCTCCCCTAACAACTAAAAAGATTTCTCGAGAACCCAAGGAACCACAGCTCTCTGAACCTTCAGAGACTAGCGACGTCAGCACTCTCCAACCTTCCGTTGAAGAAGCCAGTTCGCGATTCGGCGTCAGTTTGAAAAAGAGAGATATGGATAAGGATGTCAAAGAAGATAGTGGGAAAGAGGGTAAAGAAAAAAGTCCTCAGAGAGCGAGTCTTAGCCTCACTAGTCCTAGTCAAGATGGTAAAAGCCCCATTAGTGGGGATTCTGATGTTCCTGCTGTTGGTTCTCCATTGGAACCCTTGCCTCCCCCGCCAAATATTGGTGAAAGTGGTGAGTTAGTTTTTTGTTTGGATATTTAGGCATTTCAAATTCTGTTGACTGATTTGTATGAATTTTTTTTTGTAATACATATTCATAATTGTCTAAAATAGTATTTGGAAAATGTAATTTGCTTTTTCAAAATTTAATAGTAAAAATATAATCATTGTAAAACGTAAATTTGAAAGTTTGTTATTTGGGAACAACATATTTTCTAACGGAAAACATTTCAACTGTGATTTAAAAGTACCTAATTTTACATTAACGGTTGGGTTAGTGAATTTCCATGAAAATAACACATTTTTAATTTCTATTTTATTTATGTCAAAGATTTATCAAACCAATAATTTATTTTATCAACAAGTTTAGATTTTCTTAAAAAACATTAATTTGCAGACACAAGTAAACAACCATTTGTAACTTTTTTTTTAACATAATATGATTTTCGAATACTGCTTATTTTTTGAAACAAGATACATTTTGTTATTTTTAATGTGAAATATATTTCTTAATCAAGTTTCATTTATTGAGGGCTGTTCTGAAAAAATTTAGTTAGAAAACTACCCAATAATTTTATTGATTTTAAAAAAGAACCGCTTTTAGCTTTAATGTATTTTAACAAGACATAATCTTCCCTGATTTTTTCCCTCATTTATTGCGTTTATGGCGCTTTTTCCATACTACAGATAGCTTAACACTGGTGAACAAAACGAGGTCTGTGATGTATCTTCGAGGATGCCACATTAGTGGCTAGAAAAAATAAAAAAAAAAGATCCAATAAACTGAGTTGGAGTCAAATCTTTTACTCAAATTAACAAATAGGTAGCTGGATGTATATTGCTCCGGTGGTCATGGTCTTTTTTTTGTAGGGGGGGACCCTTAATGAGCATGGCACGCTTACTTGCGATCGCAAAACTGTAGTGTTGGGCTAAAAACCCCCTTTTCTTCGCCCGACATTCTAGAACCGCTTTTCTCATATGCCAGAATGCCTGGCGTCCCCTTTAGTTTCGTCTGTGTATCCTTTCCTCCTCTTCCTTTGTCTTCATAATATTTTGATTACTGATCTCCACCAGCAAAAAAAATTTGACACTCCATTATTCCCCTCTCTATCATTTCTCTTCTTTGTAACTCGAATCTCTGGGCATTCGAATAGAGTGTGTAGCACATTATCTACTACTCCACAGTAGATACTTAGCACAGGTATTTTTATATGCGAACTCTACACATTATGTATTGAATAGAGAGAAATATTACACAAAAATCGCAGTCTGTCAAACGAAGATATGCGTCTCGATACGAGACGTATCCTAAGATGAGGACCCCACTACAGGTCATCTTCCGTCTTCCCTATTCTTTTAGGAAAAACTCTAAAGAAGCCGTGGCTGGTCAGAACTTGTGCTACTTAGTAACTCAGTCTTATGTGTTTACATTTAATTTACATGTCTATTCTTGGTGTCAATTTTTTTGTCCACTGTGCCAAATTCTCTGTTTCGTCCCATATCCGCTGCCATTCTTCTATCGTTATCATCCTTTATTGTCTTCTAACATAAAGACTTCCATTCTTACACTTATAAATTGATAGATGATATCCCTGTCAACACTCGTAGTGCCTTGGCAGACACCGTGCGGTAGGTTGTCGCGACTTTAAGTAGTATCAGTATCTCCAGATATGTTTTTTCTCCACTACTCTGTGTCATACTGGTGCTTCTTAAAACAGAGTCGACTGCACCACTTCCAGTAAAGCTAATCTGTTTGTTGCTCGAATGCGACCTAAATTCAGCATAATCTTTTCCAAAGCCGCCCTCTTTTCTGTGCTTTTGCCACCGTTGCTTTTACATGGCATCCAAAGTTCATTTTATCTTCCAGCATTATCCCCAGATATCTTATAGCTCTTATCGGCACTATTTGTACACCTCTGAGCTCGAAACTGACCACCTCTCAGCTCGAAGCTGACCACCTCTCAGTGACATTTCCAATGATGACCCCGTAATATACAGCCTCTGTTTTATGCGATGTCAGCTTAAGGTGATGATTTGTCATCCGCGCGTCTATCCTCTTCAACATTATGTTAGCTTTTCTATATCAGTTGCTTTTACCAAAATAGCCAAGTCATCAACAAACGCAATCATTATGACTCGCTCGGGTAGGAGCTGCCTCAGTACTCCACTGTATTGTACATGTCATAGGATATGCCCAAGTACCGATCCCTGCAGAACTTCCATTGTCAGTGCTTTTTAAGAAGATCGTTTAGTGCACCTAGGATCATTTTTGGTTGCTATCTTCTCTACCTCCTTTATGACATCTGGTGGTATGCCATCAGGGTCTGGTTCTTGTCCACATTTTATTTTTCGTATTGCTTCTTGCAGCTCTTCTTTTGTGAAGGGTGCAGCTTCTTCGATCATCAGGGGTCGTTTCGTTAAGCAGGAATCATCCCTGCGTTTTTCTTTTGGAGCCCCATGTTAAGCTTCAAAAATCTGTTTTCTTTCTTTTATAATCCCGCCTTATTTCCGTCTTTTGTTTTTCTGTTGCATTTCATTTCTGCATTCTCGTAAGCCTTCTTCTCTGTCCGATAAACTCATTTCTCTTGAATTCTATTTCTGGTGTCCACCAATATGGCATCTTCTTTGATACTAATTTTCTTGATGCTGTAGGCTTCTTTTATCATTCTAATTCAATTCTATAGTTTTTAGGTGATGTGCATCTCAATTTCATCTGGTTTTAGTTTTACACTTGCCCGGAAAACGTCCCAGTCTATTGCCTCTTTCTGTTTTTCTCTTGTTTGCTGTCTTTTTGTTCCATCTTTCACTTCGAAGTAGATATAACGGCGATCGCTCAGGTTTTCGAGATCCAGTACCTCCCATTTGTGTATCCTCTTGGCTACTTCATTCGTGATATCTATAAATCACTTTGAGTCTCCTCTTATAAAGGTATGTTTATCACTGGTGATATTATCAGCTATACTGTGAAGTATTTACCCCTTGTGTCCGAAATTGGAGATCTCAATTCTGGAGATTTTCCATTCAAATCCCCTATGCCTATAATCTCGCCTGTTGTATTTTGGCAATATCCCATAATTTCATTCACTTCGGTCTTAAACTGCTCCATCAAAATGTTTAGTGATATATAACCACATATAATATAAACTTTTATGAGCATAATCCTATTTTTATATGTCACTTCGATCTTTCTGTTTCTAAAATAATGGTTATAATGTTGGGACGGCAACTCAAATGGTATAGGTTCGAATCCTGCTCGAAACTGTTTTTTCAATTTTTTCCTCTATTTTTTCTCTCCTAGGGGTTTTGGAATTTTTTCTAGACTTCGTCATTTGTATTTTTGTATATTTATCCACATCCTTGGCATACTACTAAAATAATTTCATAACAGCCCTCTTAAATATAACAAATTATAGATTTATTATCATTTTTAGTTTGATTCCTCTTGCATCTTATTAACAGATACAATGTTCAAATAATTCAAATAATAATTGATACATAAAGTCTGATTAAAATGCTTTCTACCAAACCGGTTGCCAAATGTAACCACTGCCATCATAGGTGTCATTTTTGTTTTTATTACATATTTTCTTACATCAATTTTCATGTTTTTTGATATCAGTTTTTGTAAAATAATGTACATACATAACACTCACTATATTTAGTAGAAGTAGTAGTAAGTAGTATTAGTAGGTTTTAAAATTGGTTAAAGTAGTATCCAAAGAAGAAAAACTCATCTTTACAGGCTAGCATCTTAAAACTTGAACTAACCCTATTTGATAAATATAATCAAAATATGAAATTAAATTATTCCAACAGAATTGAAAAGTTTTGAACAGTGAACTACAGATTTATAGTCTTCAGTCAATGTTTTAAATGAGAACATTTTGTCAAGAACTTCAATCAGTTCTGATGGAATTAAAATTAGTGATTCTATTTTAAAAATATTTGTTTTGTAAGATAAATTATTGTCCTGCAGGGAAGTACATTGCAGAATACATCTTTATTTCTTATGGTATGGTACAGACTATTTCAAAATTATGAATTTTAACGATTTTTTGTTGTTTTTTTTTTGTAAATTCGTTTAGGCTAATGTGTTAATATTTTTTACTTTTACTAATTGAATGTTGTTAATTTTTTCTTATAATCTTCTTAGCTTCATTTGACTAGTCTTGTGTGTTTTTCTTGTTAGTTAACCAGGATATTTAAATGGGTGAGTGTTATGAATGGTTTTGTAAAAAAACAGTTAACATGTATACCATTAATTCAATAACATTTTTTTTTTTCGTTATTATTGTAATATTTAAAAAACATAAAATTGATTTCTTTTATTCCAGATGTCGCTGTAGATACGCCAGAAGACAATAAAACTTCCAAAGTATTCAGAAATAAATTAGTAATGAAAGAGATGGAACTGAAATTAGTAGCCGAGATAAAAGAAAGTCAAAATTTAAAGAGCAAAAATCTGAAAGAATCTCCCATAGAACCATATTTGGCTGTGAGTGGCATAAGCCATGACCCTGTAGCTCAGTTAGTGACCGAACTCTCCCAATCTCTCAACATAGAAAAAGATTTAGATAAAAACGTAGCTAGAAAAAATTCTCAAGGAAATTTAACAACGAATAACGGAGTAACCTTTGTGTCCCAGCTCAAGAAAGTAGATCCTAAAAAGCCAACAACCAAAGAAAAGCCCGAGAAAGATGGATCTGTAATCATCGATTTCAAATCGAGACTCAGAAAAGTAGAAAATGATAGGAAGTCTGACGAAAGAAACGAGGACAACGAAACGGAAACTAATAAAAGAGAAAGCACAGCTAGTTCAGATAGTGGTAACTTAAAATTGGATGATAACGATGATAAGAGGAAGAGTACTGGTAGTATTAGTAGCCTAAAGAAGCTTTGGGAGCCTAGAGATAGTTCAGATCCTGGAGGAAACATCCAGCTAAGTCCAAAATTGTCAATTAAAAACCACAAAAGTGATGACATACTGGAAGGTTCACCCGTGGAAACCTCAGATGATTCAGTGAAATTAGAAAAAGCTGGTAAAGGTGATAAGAAATCAACTTGGCCACCTGCGAATGAAGATAAACCACTTATTCCTACCAAGCCACCTGTTAAAGCAGTTAAGCCAATTTTAAGTCGGCCTGCAGGTTCGGCGATTTATGCTACGCCCATTGCAACTAATACCAATTCTTCAAAACCTCCCATTATGGCCAAACCGACTAATATTGAGAACAAAACCCCAGAAGAAGACACGAAATTGTCTTCTACGGATAAAAGCGGAAAGGACAGTATCTTGGAAATATCTCAGGCTTTGGAGACGACCTTAAACAGCATTAAATTGAACTCTGCAGTGTCGACTGCGACGTGGTTGCAACTCTCTGACAAAATAGGCATGCTACATGGTTCCTGCATGGATTACGCCGATAACGTGGTTCCTGCTCACACTAAGTTTCAGTTTAGGGAATTATTAACGAGATTAGAGAGTCAAGCGCGGCAACTTAGATCGGCTGGCTCTCGAAATACCTCCGAAAATACCCGATGTCTTAACGAAGTGAACAACACCATCAAAGACGTCGTAAACGTGGTGTTTCGATAGAAGCGAATGCGATTTCGGGGACGTTTAATACTTTTTGAACAAATTATCCTATATTTCATATTTATACGACTGTTAGGACCATTTCGTGTAATGAATCAATTTAATTTGTAAGGTAAGTTACGCATTTAGAACGAGGTACGTGTGAATGTGGGGAAAGGAACTTTTTTTGGTGTTTGTTTTTCAGGTATTGTGGTTTATTTGTGATATATCGTGTTTATCAGTAAGTCGTATTGATTTATGAGTTTGGTATCTATAAATGCAACAATACAGTTATGAATAAGTAATTATTTAATTGATTGGATATGAAACTTTATATTATGCAAATTTAAACATTTTTAATATTGCTTTATTAATAAAAACTCAATTTTTAGATAACATGGGTGATATTAGATTGAAATTTTTATGTAGTACTGATTTTTAGAAAGTTTTGTACTACATTTAATAACTAAAAAGAAACAAATACAATTTTGACAATAATAATAAAATATGCAATACAAAAAGTGGTCCAATATCACTAGCATTATAGATTATCTGTTATGTATTATATTTTATTTACACATTTAATAAGAAAATGTGTAATTATATTTGAATTTAAATGAACTTTTCTTAGTTATTCTTCTTTATTTTACTTCAGGTCCATATGTAGCACTTGTTGAGTGGCCTCTTGAATGCACATTACAGTTCTGGTATATCATGAGAATTTAGAAATAAACAAATCCTTAAATGTACCATACATTTTTTATAGTATTAAGAGTCGTCAGAATTGAATCGACTATTTTAGGCTGAATTGAAAAAAATTGGAGGTTATTATTTGTTTTGGTTTTACGTTGACGTCTATATAACAGTAAACTGCGTGTAATAACGTGCAAAAAAACCTTAGTATAGTTAAAGAGGAAGATGTCAGCAGTCATTTGACACAAATTGTGTTAAAAACTCTTGATTTGTCACGCTAAATCGCGCGTTTTGAAGTGTGCTTCTGTTTGACTACGGAACGTGTGGTCAATTAAGCTTAGGAACTGCGTTTTCTCTTTAATAAACATAGCACTACTGTGAATTTCGATCAAAGTATAATTCTGAAAAATATCTTCTATCTTCTACGTTCCAAATTTTCTCCATTAACAAATTTAATGCATATTCTCCGCCATTCTGAATCTTTAAAAAATCTATAACGAAGTGTGAGCCCACTTTTAGAATATCCTACTTGGATTAAACAAAATTACAACACTGATAAAAAGCACATTGTTTACAGTGTTTTATACTTAATTGTGGGATGTTATTTCAGGTGATTTTTTATTATTAATATAATTTCTGCTGGTACAACTACACAGGAGATACAATTTTTAAACTTTTGATATGGCATGTACATTTTAGTTGGGACACTACACAAAAATTAAAAAACCGTTGATTGAAAATACTATTACCTTTTTGATGGAATCGTACAAACAATTTTTCGAGTTATGTCGTAAACGAAGTGTTGTTCAATGTTTCAACTTAATTATATTTATCTAGTGTCATTGTTTCTGTTTTTCAAATCTGACGTAGGTAAACCACCTTAAAAACAATTAGCCACTAAGGCGGCTTGTAAGAGTGCACCTGCCACAGGTGGTGTTAAAAGCCATATCGTTATAGGCCTGGAACAGTTGCACTTTGAGAAATTCGTAGTTACCAAAAGAATTATTGATTAAAAAATTACTTTTTTAATGGTTGGTACGAGACATTTCCCAATATTTTTAAATTGATTTGTGATTTTAGAGTTCCACAATCATGGTGCTTTAAGAAGCCACTGAAACATACTTAGGGACACGTTCAGGAAAACCACACTGAGTGTGAATGTAACTTTCGCGGTGTGACTGGTTGTTAGTTGAGCGCCTACCTACTACCATTCATGAACCCAATGGGCCCGTTCACTTTCATTTTTGAATGTGAATTAATTATATATTTATAAAGATATTAAACTCTTTTGTCTGGTGGTACTTTTCCCGTTAAGATATTTTTGCTAGAAGTAAGGGAATTCCCATAAAATTCTTTCAGTGACTCATTGCGTCAGAAAACCCCTAATTCCCTTCAAGTCTCGTATCGGTTAATAGTTAAAAGGGCGCGGTTTGTCGGATGTATCATTGCACCACCATTCCTCTTCTGCATTTATTAAAGAAATTTACATTATAAAAATATATTATTTTTTTAAAATAATATGTTTATATTTTCAGATAAAGCTGGAAGCCTTACCTTTTTTAAATTTTAATAAAAACAATTAGTATTACTCAAGCTGAATATTACCAGATCGAAATTTTATTTGAGAAAATGTATCTGGTAAACGTGACAACGTTGAAAGTACTTCTAAATAGTGTTGTCTACACACACTTCTAGAAATAAATGCAACGTTGCCACGTTTACCAGATAAATATTGCGAATCAAATTTCTACTTTTTGATTATGGTCTGGTTAATTTTCAACCTGAGTAATAATAATTGTTTTAATTAAAAAAAAAAAATAAGCTCCCAGCTTTAAATCTGAAAATATAACATCACGATTTTTAGAAAAATAATGGAATTTTACTATTTAAATTACATATATAAATGCAGAAATGGTATATTAGGGATACTTCCGACAACCTCGCCGTCTTTAAGCATAACCGATACGAGACGTGAACGGAATTAGGGATTTTCTGACGCAATGAGTCACTGAAAGAATTTTATGGGAATTCCCTTACTTCTAGCAAACATATCTTAACGGGAAAAGTACCACCAGACAAAAGAGTTTAATATCTTTATAAATATATAATTAATTCACATTCAAAAATGAAAGTGAACGGGCCCATTGGGTGTTCTCTGGATGTTTGTATATGTCAAATGTCAAAAACCGATAAACCTAACCAAACATTTTAGTTAAAATTCATGTTATCCTGTTTTATCACATTTTTTTTTATAGTTTTACATTTTTGTAAGTGTTTATGTTCATGTTTATAGGTTAAAAAAAATATATTACAATTAATAAACAATAATTTTGAATATAAAATGACAATTGACTTGGCTCAATGTGTTGTGGCCATGGCAAGTTGGATGAGACAATTTTGTGGGTCTAGTGTGATTTATGTAAACGCTGGATTCATCAAAAGTGCGACTTGAGCAATAGTAATTCCTATGATGAAAATGATTTCATTTGTGAAATTTGTATATTTCATAAAAATGAACATGACATAAAACCAGATAATATTTATGAAAAGTGCACAAAATTCCTTGAGAAAATAAATTTAAATAAACAAGAAATAGAAGAACTTGAAGTAAAAACTCGAGAACAAAGGTATAGTACCCTCTGGCAACAGGAACGAAAGATTAGGGTAACATCCTCTTATTTTGGAAAAATTTGCAAAGTGAGAGATGTTTCGTCATAAACAAATATAGTCAGTAGTATATTAAATGACAATCAAATAAACAGTGATGCTATTAGACACCATACAAAATATAAGGCGGTGGCAATTGAAGAATATCAGAAGAAAATGAATGTATGCTGTGAAAAATCAGGGATCTTTGGTCACCCTAGTTTTTCTTATTTAGCAGGTACACCAGACGCTTTAGTTTCTAAACACGGAATTGTAGAGGTAAAATGTCCATTTAATGCTATAAATGCGGATACCAAAACATTTTATTTCGATTTTTTAACATAAGATGGATTATCTCTAAAAAGTACAAATAACGCTTATTACAAAATTCAAAGTTTGCTAGAAATAATAAATAAAACTTGGTGTGATTTAATAATATATACATTCAAAAACATAAAATTAATTCAAGTTTTTAGATCTGAAAAATTTTGGAATGTGATACACAAAAAATTAAAACATTTTTATTACTTTTATATGCTGCCTAGCATAAGTTATCCTCAAAAGCAATGTTCACAGACACAACTAAAATGGATAACAAACAATGATTTTGAATTTTTAGATAATGGCCTAATTGCTGATATTTATTATTATAAAGAATTGTCAGATCTGCAGTATTGACTTTACTATTAATGAAATTCTTCTAAATGATTACACAACCTTAAATAATGGTCAATATTTAAGTATTTTCATTGTAGATCATTGTCTGCATATTATTAACAAAATGAATTGTCTGAAATTCCAAAATGATTTCTGTTGCCAAATCTTCGATTATTTTTGGGGAAGTGAGTTGACTAAAGAATTTGTTGACAACATCCATTTTAAAAATGATTATGTTGTTCTGTCCATAAACAAACACCAACATTATTTATTAGTAATAATTTCATTTTCAGAAAAAAAATTATATTTATTGATCCAATGGGAAACGAAATACTTTTAAAACAGACTTATTTTAGACAATTATCACAGTTTTTCATTCTTAAAGATATTACAACAAATTTTTCCTTAGAAATTCCAGAACATGTTATGCAAAACGATGGATTTAATTGTGGAATTTATATCATACTTTTTTCAAAATATTACAAAAAATCAAACATTAATTCACAGTTTCGATCCAGAGGAGTCAAGAATAAATCTGAAATGGATGTTATTACGTAACAGTTCTGATATGACAAATATTTGTTTGTTTTGTGCCAACTTAACTACTAATGACACCGCGTTTAAATGTCAATTATGCAGAAGAACTATTCACTATAAATGCTTGTTAACTACCTATGAAATAAAAACTTGTGTTAAGATTACGGAAAAAATTATTAACGACATGTGTGATCTTTGCTGATTGAACTATTTTAGATCATAATATGTGTATACAAGATTTCGCAGAAAGTGTGCACCAAGAAAACAATAAATTTTAAATCTTTATTATTTATTTTATTTTTTTAGCATAGATTAATAACATTATTTTTACAAAAAAATTATTAAATACATGCATTTTTCGAAATTTGTCGAAATTAATTTCATATATAAAAGTTTACTTCTGTGTTTACCAAGAAACATGAAAAAAATTAAATGTTTGATTTAATGGCTTTAAATTAATATTTGTTGGTAAATATTAATTCTAAACAAGTTTTTTATTGTTTGCCA